TTAGAAGCGGATGTTCCTGTGGGCTTGGGACAGTAATAAACCATGTGACTTTAAATAAATCACTTTCCCTCTCTGGGCCTTAGTTTCTTCTCGCTTAGGCTAGCTAGGACCCCTGGTGCCCCCTGGTCCATCCCCTCAATCCTGTGTTAAAGAGAAGTTAGGAGATAGACTCTAGGACCACACTGCGGATAGAATGAAGATGAGAGCAGCTGCACGAGCTGTTGTGAGGACGAATGTGTGCACACACATAACGCCTACCGTGTTCACTCTGTGTTTGTACGGGTGCCTGTAAGTGCTCCACAGACGGTCATTATTGTTACTGTTATCACGAGAGTGAAAGAAACTACAGTAGTTCCCTGTGTCTGTATAAGGCCTGGATTAGACGCCAGCTGGTTTGGAGGCAGTTGAATGGCCGGGTTGACCTCGGGAGGACCCCAGGGGGAGGAAGGAAGCTGTTTGCCCCCCTTGGCTGCAGACACCCAGAGAAACCCAGGGCTCCACTCCACCCAGGGGATCCTCCACTGCTGAGCAGCAGGCCGGGCCTGGCTAGAATACGGTCTGAGGGGCCTGCAAGGGAGAGGAGGAGGCCTCTCCTGAGAGGAGAGAAGCACAACTTCTAACGTACAAAGACAGCCGAGCCAGTCTGGGACCCTGGGACCCTGGGTCTGGCTCCTGTGACCCCACTGCTGGCCTCGTGCCTAGGGCCCGGGCCGTGCCTAGGGCCTGTCTGTAGGCAGAGCTCCTGGACCCTGTGGCAGAGACAGAGGTGGTGCTGGGGCTGGGCGGGGGCTCCGTCCTCATGACATGGGGGTCATCTGTGACATGTGGAGTAAGGGTCTCAGCCGGGGCTGGGCAGGGGCCTCCCAGCTGCTGTTTAACAGGTGCTACAGAGTACACGCCACTGCGTCCGGCCAGGAGGCCCGCCCGGACTGGGAGTGGACCTCCTGCGGACGGATCACCTTCTCCGCCAGGCCCTGTGCCACTTCCAAGAGGCTGAGCCAGGACTCAGAGCCGGGTGTTAGCCCTACGTCTGCCGGTGGCCCATCTGAGTGAGACTTTCTGGGCTCAGTTCTCCATCTGCCTGCCCTTCTGTGGGAGAGGTCGGATTTCCTGTGACGTCAGTGAGGCTCACACTTCGGGGCCCCTCACCTGTGTGGGCCCCTTCCAGGCGCCTAAACTTTTTATTTTATATTTTTTTAAACTCTTATTTATTTATTTAGCTGCACCACATGGCTTGTGGGATCTTAGTTCCCTGACCAGGGATTGAACCCAGGCCCTAGTAGTGAAAGCGCTGAGTCCTAACCGTTGGACTGCCAGGGAATTCCCAAAACTGTTTATTTATTTATTTTTAATTAATTAATTTATTTTTGGCTGTGTTGGGTCTTCGTTTCTGTGCGAGGGCTTTCTTTAGTTGTGGCGAGTGGGGGCAAGTCGTTGTGGTGCACAGGCTTCTCTTTGCAGTGGTTTCTCTTGTTGCAGAGCACAGGCTCTAGGCACGCAGGCTTCAGTAGTTGTGGCTCGCAGGCTCTAGAGTGCAGGCTCAGTAGTTGTGGGACACGGGCTTAGTTGCTCCGCAGCATGTGGGATCTTCGTGGACCAGGCAAGAACCCGTGTCCCCTGCATTGGCAGGTGGATTCTTAACCACTGTGCCACCAGGGAAGCCCCTCGATTTCCTCTTTTATAGCTGTTACCATTTGCCTTACATATTGAGGTGCTCCTATGTTGGATGCATAAATATTTACAATTGTTATATCTTCTTCTTGGATTGATCCCTTAATCATTATGTAGTGCCCTTCCTTGTCTCTTATAACATTATTTTAAAGTCCGTTTTGTCTGATATGAGAATTGCTACTCCAGCTTTCTTTTGATTTCCATTTGCATGGAGTATCTTTTTCCATCCCCTCACTTTCAGTCTGTATGTGTCCCTAGGCCTGAAGTGGGTCTCTTGTAGACAGCATATATACGAGTCTTGTTTTTGTATCCATTCAGCAAGCCTGTGTCTTTTGGTTGGAGCATTTAATCCATTCACAGTTAGTTAATTATTGATATGTATGTTCCTATTGCCATTTTCTTAATTGTTTTGGGTTTGTTTTTGTAGGTCCTTTTCTTCTCTTGTGTTTCCCACTTAGAGAAGTTCCTTTAGCATTTATTGTAGAGCTGGTTTGGTGGTGCTGAATTCTCTTAGCTTTTGCTTGTCTGTAAAGCTTTTGATTTCTCTGTCGAATCTGAATGAGATCCTTGCGATCCTTGCCATGTAGAGTAATCTTGGTTGTAGGTGCTTCACTTTCATCACTTTAACTATATCATGCCACTCCCTTCTCGCTTATAGAGTTTCTGCTGAGAAATCAGCTGTTAACCTTATGTTAACCCTATGGGAGTTCCCTTGTATGTTGTCATTTTCCCCTTGTTGCTTTTAATAATTTTTCTTTGTCTTTAATTTTTGTCAATTTGATTACTATGTGTCTCAGTGTGTTTCTCCTTGGGTTTCTCCTGTCTGGGACTCTCTGTGCTTCCTGGACTTGGGTGGCTATTTCCTTTCCCATGTTAGGGAAGTTTTCAACTATAATCTCTTCAAATATTTTCTGGGGTCCTTTCTCTCTCTCTTCTCCTTCTGGGACCCCTATAATGCGACTGTTGGTGCATTTAATGTTGTACCAGAGGTCTCTTAGGCTGTCTTCATTTCTTTTCATTCTTTTTTCTTTATTCTGTTCCACAGCAGTGAATTCCACCATTCTGTCTTCCAGGTCAGTTATCTGTTCTTCTGCCTCAGTTATTCTGCTATTGATTCCTTCTAGTGTAGTTTTCATTTCAGTTATTGTGTTGTTCATCTCTGTTTATTTGTTCTTTTAATTCTTCTAAGTCTTTGTTAAACATTTCTTGCATCGTCTCGATCTTTGCCTCCATTCTTTTTCTGAGGTCCTGGATCATCTTCACTATCATTATTCTGAATTCTTTTTCTGGAAGGTTGCCTATCTCCACTTCATTTAGTTGTTTTTCTGGGGTTTTATCTTGTTCCTTCATCTGGTACATAGCCCTCTACCTTTTCATGTTGTTTATCTTTCTGTGAATGTGGTTTTTGTTCCACAGGCTGCAGGATTGTAGTTCTTCTTGCTTCTGCTGTATGCCCTCTGGTGGATGGGGCTATGTAAGAGGCTTGTGTAACCTTCCTGATGGGAGGGACTGGTGGTGGGTAGAGCTCAGTAAAACTTTAATCCACTTGTCTGCTGATGGGTGGGTCTGAGTTCCCTCCCAGTTGGTCGTTTGGCCTGAGGCGACCCAGCACTGGAGGCTACAGGCTCTTTGTTGGGGCTAATGGCGGATTCTGGGAGGGCTCATGCCAAAGGAGTACTTCCCAGAACTTCTGCTGCCAGTGTCCTTGTCCCCATGGTGAGCCACAGTCACCCCCCATCTCTGCAGAAGACCCTCCAACACTAGCAGGCACGTCTGGTTCAGTCTCCCCTGGGGTCACTGCTCCTTCCCCTGGGTCCCGATGCGCACACTACTTTGTGTGTGCCCTGCAAGAGTGGAGTCTCTGCTTCCCCCAGTCCTGTCGAAGTCCTGCAATCAATTCCCACTATGCTTCAAAGTCTGATTCTCTAGGAATTCCTCCTCCCGTTGCCGGACCCCTAGGTTGGGAAGCCTGACGTGGGGCTCAGAACCTTCACTCCAGTGGGTGGACTTCTGTGGCATAAGTGTTCTCCAGTTTGTGAGTCACCCACCCAGCAGTTATGGGATTTGATTTTATTGTGATTGCGCCCCTCCTACCATCTCACTGAGGCTTCTCCTTTGTCTTTGGATGTGGGGTATCTTTTTTGGTGAGTTCCAGTGTCTTCCCGTCGATGATTGTTCAGCAGTTAGTTGTGATTCCGGTGTTCTCGCAAGAGGGAGTGAGCGCATGTCCTTCTACTCCGCCATCTTGAACCAGGATTTCTGAGGGTGGCCTCTTGATTCAGCCTTGGCAGTGGGGAGAGGTCAGCTGGGGGCTCCATGTGGCCTTGGCCGTGCTCTCTGGTTACAGCCCAGGTGGCTGACAGCCCACTTGTCTCGCCTCTTCCCTGCATCAGCAGCTCCCTCACTCCCGCTGCTGCGGCCCTCCGGGCTCAGCCAGGCCCAGCAGGACAGGGCAGGTCCCGGAGGTGGAGAAAGGAGGTAATAACTCCCACTCAAACCCTCTCGCTCTGCCTCTCCCCACCAGTGCCCTTCTTTATGGTCTAATCCTACCCGTGGTCAGTGCAGCTCAAGGCTCACCTGGCCGCCCAGCCTGAGCTGGCCCCTCCTCCTCTGAGCATGTGGCATGGTCCCATCGGACACGGGCGCAGGGCCATCATGTGGGCACACTTCTCTCCTGCACCGGGTGGTGAGCTCTGGAAAGCAGAGAACCCCTTGTCCTGATCTCATTTATGGTAAGGGAAGACGTGGGGCCTCGTCGTCCTGGATAATCTTGCAGCATCACCTCTAGGGGGCTGGGCCCACAGCAGGCACTCGTGTGACCTGTTGACGGTCTAGCTGGAGCCGTGGAGCTGTGCTTGGCTGGGTTCCCTGTGTCCGGGTTAGGGCCACGGGTTCCCCTCTGGAGACACTCTGTGTCTTGGCACCTGCGTCCCCTGTCCCCCTTGCTGCCCACAGACAGGACAGACATCCTGTCAGGTCCTGCTCATTAGTGGAGGTGGTGGGGACCGTGGGAGCTGCCTGGGGGAAGGGCCAAGGAGGAGGCTGCCAGGCTGCGGTGGGGGAGGCTCTGAGGGGGGCTTTCCGAGCTGTGCGCCCACCGGCCAGAGGTCCACAGCCCTGTCACCCTGCTCTCAGGTTATCAGTCCCCCAGCGAGGCCTCAGCTTCCTCTTGCTGCTGGGAGATCCCTGGGATCTCAGGAGGGCGGGAGGGGCCCCGCAGAATCCTCACCCCAAGTGCTGCTCAGGTTGGGGAGGGCCGGTGAGGGGCCCTTGAGCTCACCTGTCTTTGTCCTGGTCCTTCCGCTGAGTGGATGTTGGCGTCTCTGCAGGTCGGAATGAGCTGATCGCCCGCTACATCAAGCTCCGGACAGGGAAGACCCGCACCAGGAAGCAGGTGGGCCCCGGGGCAGGTACCCTGGCACTGGTCGGCTCCCAGGGTGGGCCCGGCCCTCCGCAGGACTGGGTGTGGACTCTGGGGACCAGCTTGGGAGGGGTCCTCTGCTGGGTGTGCCACAGACGGTCAGTTTCCCTGGGGTCCCTCCTGCCATCGCCTGGGAGGAGACCCCTCCCCATCCGACTGCACTTGTATTTAACTGGGAGAGGTGGGACCGAGGTCCCATCAGTGACTGATCCTTTCATTCATTCGTTCATCCATTCAGTCTGTGATGGGATGGGGGGCTGTGGAGGGCCGAGGGTCAGGGGAGCCGGCCGTCGGGGAGACAGGAACCCCTCTTCCTGCCACAGGTGTCCAGCCACATCCAGGTGCTGGCTCGGCGAAAAGCCCGCGAGATCCAGGCCAAGCTCAAGGTAAGGCCAAGGCCGCAGCGGGGGGCTTGGGTGGGCCAGCCTCCCGGGACTTGGGGCTCTTCTCCCAGGAGGAAACGTCTTCCCTTGGGTTTGGGGGCTGGCTGCTTACGTGTGGAGCCAGTGAGCTTCTCAGTGCTGAGGAAAGTGGGGTTCAGCCTGTTACCTCTCTCCCACCTGCACAGGCGACGTTGGCTGGGGGCCGTGTCTGTGTGTGAATGGCCAGGCTCACAGCATCCTGGGGGACAGAGGCCGGTCTCCTGCTGTGCTCCCCGCCCCCTGCAGCCCAGAGGAACCGGGCACACCCTGAGTCCCACGGTTAGAGCAACAGGACTGCCCTCCAAACCCCATTTCTTGCGGACCGTGTGGCCCCTTACTGCTGTCACCCAGATCCTGTGGGTGGCAGGCCTGCAGGGTGGGGTCCACGCTGGGGGAAGGGCTGGTGGGGCTCCCTGGATCAGCCCCACCTTGCAGGCCTGTCTGCCAACAGGCGACTGCTACACGGGGTCCAGCCGCTGGTGGGAGTCCCCTCCCCATGGGACTCAGGCCTCCTGGACCCTGGACCCAGGAGCCCTTGGCTGAACCCTGGGAGGGAGCAGGCTGCCCATCACAGTGGATGTAACAGAAGAGTCTATGGCTGCTTGGTAGGAGGAGCCAGCACTTGGGGCTGAGACCAGTAAACCCACAGGCATTTTAAGTTAATTTTTATTTTTATGTTTTGGCCGCACTATGCGGCTTCCGGGATCTTAGTTCCCCGACCAGGGATTGAACCCGGGCCCTCGGCAGTCAAAGCGCAGAGTCCTAACTGCTGGACCGCCAGGGAATTCCCCACAAACGTTTTTTAAAGCAGTGGAAGCCCTTTCGTTTTTCTCCCAAATTAAATATCACCCCAACCCGTTATCAGAGGACCTACTCTGGTCAAAGCTAGGTTGGCGAGAAGCAGGGTAGGGACCCCTTGTGCTAGTCACCGCTCAGCCCCCATGACTCTCGAACCCGAAAGCATTCCAGAACCCAGTTTAAAAGCCCCTTGACTAGAGGACCACAGAGGCCCCATCTGGCCCCGTTGTCCGTGACCCTGACACTGGAGGCTCTGACGGCATGGGTGGGAACTCCCAGGAGGCTCCATTCCTCCTGCATCAGCCCAGCTGTCCCCCGCCCCTCACAGCTGTGGCCCAGCCCTTGCTCCTTTGTCCCTGGGACAGCTGGCTGGGCCGCAGCTGCTGGTCTCTCCCTCTCAGGCTGGCGCATGTGTGCCCGGATATCCCTGGCCCTGCAGCCCACTTGCCCCTCACTCCCCGCTCTGGTCAGCCTGTGACTCACCAGGGCCTGGTAGGGGACCGGGTGGAGAGCCAGATGTCCAGGGTTCTGTTTAGAGCCATCGAGGGGAGGTTTGCATTCCCGTGGGGGCCGGCTATACGGCCCACGTGTGCTCGAGGAACTGAACCTGTCCCTGTCCAGGGCTGGGAACGTGGGGCTGGGAACAGCCTCTGTGGACCGCTGGACAGGCTTCAAGGGGAGCCATGGACCCCTTAAATAATATGCACATTTTCACGTATATGCATTTTTTGGAGAAGATTGGTCTGAGGATTTTGTCATATTCTTCAGAGGGTCTGGGACCCAATGTAGTTAAGCTCCCTGGTGGATGGCAAGGTCAGGTGGAAGTCCTTGGGTCATGGCCCTGGTCTGACCTGGCTCTGCCCTGGGCCGTGGGCCCTCTGCCATGTCACCCACCTGCCTCAAGCTCCATCCAGCTTCCCCGCCTGTAAAATGACAGGGTTGAGCAAGGTGGTATCTGAGGTCCCCTCCAGCCACAAAATTCAATAGCCTGGTCACTGATATCACCCCGCACTCCCACCTGATTCCTGTCCCACTCGCTGGTCCCTGGCCGTTCGTTTAGACTGGCCATCGGGAGGAAGGGACTCAGGTTGCCGACACAGGGCTGGAGCTCTCTGCCCTCCCACCACTGCAGTTGTTAACAGAGGTTTGTGGGCCTCCTGGGGTGTGGCCTGCCACCCCATTCGTGTCCTGTAGGGAGCGGGCCTGGGCATGTATGCCATCTCCCTCCCGACATCAGCAGAGCCCTTGGGGAGAGGCAGCCTGATGCTTTGGTTATCAGAGACAGCCTCAGAGCAAGGCCCAAGTTTGGCCCCAAAAGGACAGTGGGCTGGGGTGTCCCACCACTCAGCACGGCCTCCCAGGCCCTCTGCTGAGGATGGGTGCCATCAGATCCTGATATGCCCCCTCCTTGGTTTGCTCAGCCCCCCGGGCCTGCAGAGGTCAGAGGTCATGGATGTGCCATCCCGGACGGACCTTAAGGGCCTACTGTCACGAGACCCCTGTCAACACCCAAGTCCCCTAAATCCTCTGAGCCTCAGTTTCTTCATCTTAGAATGGGGAGCCTACGAGTCCTGCCAGCCTCACGGGGGTGCTGAGATGTTCAGAACCAAAGTGAGACAGCGTTCTTTACCTTCCGGGGGCCGTCTCGTGTGTGCCCCATGAGCGTAAGGGGTCGCTGAGAAGCCGAGTGGAAGTGCCTGGCCCCAGACCTCATCGCGCACGATGCTGGGCGCACCACGCCGGGCGTACCACCTGGACCCTTCGGGCCTGACGCCGTGGTGATGCTACCCACCGGGCGAGTGAAGTCATGCAAAACCAGCTGTGGGCTGAAAGGACCTCCCTCAGCAATTAGCTTGCTTATTACTCAGGACAGATTTGGGTCCACGAATCTGATTATTAAATAAAGGGCCCACTTATTTTTCCCTTTTAAGAAGTAATTCATCATAAACATAGAGAATTTCTAATCAGAGCTCCTGAGTTGGCATAAACCAACCTTTTGTCTCCAATAATGCTACCCATACTGAATAATACTTGCTGTTCAGTCTGTACGTGTGGTCTTCTTTTGGACCCACTAGGCTGTCTGACATACAGTATGTCTTACTGGTTTTGAAGACCTTTGGGATTGGGGAGCTCAGGATGGGGGACCACTGGCTAATACAAGTAGTAACCAAGTATTATTACGATTATTATTATAAGCAGGTCATACTGCTGATTTGTTCAGAGCCTCTGCAGGGTGAACCCATTTTGGAGGGGGGTCTTTGGACCATAGAGGGCAGATAGTTGGTATTCGCATCCTGACACGTAAAAGGTTCGGAAGCCATGGGTGCCCGTGGTACAGTAGAGATCCACAGGCCAGGGCTATGACGGGCCACAGGAGACCGTCCCTTGTCACCGTCCATGTGACCGAGGATGACCCCTGCCCAACAGATATTCATGCACCAACTCCCAAGGGCCAGGTGAGGTCCCAGCCACCCCTGGTGAGCAAGACCTGGGTGGTCCCTGTGTCCCTGAGGTTGGTAACAGGAGAGCCATGGTCTGGCAGGTGGCCTCCAAAGTCTCTTTAAACCCTAATGAGACTGGTAGGGCGAGTGATGTGCCCCTTTGACGGATGAGGAAGGTGATCAGAGCCACTGAGGGACTTACTCAAGTCACAGGACCGGTTCACAGCCCTGCAGGAACGTGAGCCTAGTCCCCAGGGCCGAGTCCAGGGTCTGGCTTCCCTGTCACCAGCTGGACCCACCTCTCCCGACCTGCCATGGTGCCCACACTGAGGCCTCCCTCGATGTCTCCCCAGGATCAGGCAGCTAAGGACAAGGCCCTGCAGAGCATGGCTGCCATGTCGTCCGCCCAGATCATCTCTGCCACAGCCTTCCACAGTAAAATGGCCCTCACCCGGGGCCCAGGCTACCCGGCGGTCTCAGGGGTAAGTGGGGCTGCCTGGAGTCGAAGGCTGGACTGCCCCGTCCTTCTCACTCCTCCCCCTTCCAAGGCGCTGGCCACACCAGAGTCCTCACTTGAGTCCTCTCGGGCCAGGAGAGCCGGGGAAGGAGAGACCAAGGACCGAGGGGCCATGCAGTCGCCGGGACCGCCCTCCTGGGGGCCTCGGCAGTGACAAGGGTGCAGCCGCCCCGTCACACGGCCACCCGGGGGCTCTGCAGAGTTGGCCCCATTTACAGAAGAGGAGGCTGAGGCCGGGCTTTGGGGTGGCGCCGGCATGTTCTGAGGAGCTGCTCTGCCCCGCCCCCAGCTCAGCCTCGTCCCCCCTCCGCCCTCAGGGGCTCCTTCCAGGTAAAGGGCTGATGTCCAGGAACAAAGTCCTCTCGAATTTTAAACTGAGAATGGGTCTCTTGGCCATGGCCACATGGGTCCCGCTCTAAGAACAGTCCAGAGAGACCCCTCCTTCCCGGGGCTGAGTCCTCCCAGGGTGTTGTAGGCTGTTGGGACTGACGCACCGCCCCAGGCCCTGTGTCCGGGGAGGCTCTCATCCAGCATTTTTCCGAGTGTGTCCAGAGGCCGCTAGTCCAGAAGGGCGTTGAGTGGACAGGACGACGGGACCAACGAGTGCACACATGACTCGGGCACTCAAGTCTCAATAGGGTGCCTGACTCCAGATCTCTTGAGAGTCCTGCGTGCCACTGTCACCAGGCATCTGTCCCCGAGGAAGGGGACGAGTGCCGTGTTTGCAAGTTTGGGGGCTTCTCTTGGGAGCCCCTCATCGGCAGGCGTTCCAGAGGCTGGAGGTCCTTGCAGCGCTCGCGGGGACGCCGTGCTGCCTGGCTCTAGGCAGGCACCCTTCCCAGGCCCAGGCCCTGGCCTCGCCCTCCAGCTGAGCCCCTGCCCGGTCTCTCTCTCGACGCCGCTGGCCGCGCACACTGGGCTCTGCTGACTCTGTGCTTTTGTCTCCTCAGTTTTGGCAAGGAGCTTTGCCGGGCCATGCCGGAACGTCCCACGAGTGAGTATGGCCACCGTGCTGCCCTGTTGCTCCCTGGGCTGTTCTTGAGCCCGTGAACTCGTGCCGCTGGCCCAGGCCTGAGGGTGGGAGAGCCGCAGTCTGGGGTCAGCCTTTCCGGATGGCCCTGCTCTTACGGATGAGGCTCTCCTGCTCTCGGGCACCCTGGGGTGGCGTTTGCTGAAGCCTCGGTCTATCCGGGGCATAGCAGAACCCGAGCTCAGGACCCCGAGGGGAGCAGGCTAGGAACCAGCCCTCTGGCTGGCCTGGGAGGGAGGGAGGAGGGGTGGGTTTTCCAAACAGACCTGCTGCTTCTGTGGGTCGGCCAGAATCCCGAGGGAGCGGGAGGCCAGAGCCACTGATCACCCGGGCCTGCCTCAGTGAAGACAGCGTTGGAGCGTGACCGAGGCTCTAGGCCTGCCACCTGCCCCCAGGCCCACGCGTCCTCTCTCCTCTCCCACAGTGTGAAACCTTTCTCTCAGCAAACCTACACTGTCCAGCCGTCACTGCCTCTGCCAGGTGGGTCAGCAGGCTCTGCCTCCCTCGTGCATCACACCCCTGTGGTTCCTGCTCCGGGTCCCAGGCCCTGACTGCTAGACGCCTCTAGCAGTCCCCTTAGATGCTGCCCTGGCACGTGCTCACACCGTGCACCCCAGCTCCCAGCTCCACCTCAATCCTCTTCCAGGAGCCAAGCCCCCTGCGCCCCCAGGGCGGCCCGTCCTCCCCAAGCCCCTCCCCAGCGAGGCTCAAGGCTGGCAGGCTGCGCACAGCTCAAGGGGCAGTGCCTGCGCCCCGGGGTGGCCATTCCACCTGCATGTGTGCCCCGTCCTGCTTGGCTTCTGGGATGGCTTCCCTCTGTGACACTGTAATCCTCTCTTTCAAGATGGGGGTCCAGCAGAGCATGGCTTTCCAGCCTGGAGCCCCTGGTTAGCAGAGGGAAGGCTCCTGGCATGAGGCAGATGGAGGTCCACCTGGGCAGCACGGAGGTCCCGCCTTCCCCACTCACGTGACCCGCTCTGTCCCTGCCTCTTTCTCAGGAAGGTCCCTCCACCTTCCGCTCTGCAGGACGAGATAGGATCCTCGCCCTCACCCTCCTTTCCTGGCTTGGGAATGGCTCCTGCCTGCACGGTGGCCTGGCTTTTCCTGCTCTGAGAGCGGGCCCTGCCACCCTCCTAGATTGCTGACGGCTGCTTGGGGGCCGCCCACCTCCCCTAGTCTGTGCTCTCCCCTCACGGCTCCCCCACCCCGTCTACAGTCACATCCCCGCTCTTACTCTCTGTAACTCACCTGTCATCTTTTTCTTTTTTTTAATATTTATTTATTTGACTGCGTCGGGTCTTAGTTGTGGTGCGTGGGCTTAGTTGCCCTGCAGCGTGTGGGATCTTAGTTCCCTGACCAGGGATCGAACCCGCGTCCCCTGCATTGGAAGGTGGATTCATAACCACTGGACCACCAGGGAAGTCCATCCATCATCTTTTTAAAGCATCGATCTCACCACGCTGCTTCCAGCTTAGAATCTGTTAGTGGCTCCCTGGTACCTTCAGGACACAATCTAAGCTTAATTGTCACTCTGTGTGCCCTGGGCAGCATCTGGGGCTGGTGTCTGTGTCTGTCTTCTGTGTGTCGGGCCACATCTGATGTGCACGCCACGCTTGAACAAATGAACGAGTGATTCGGCTCACCCGTCAAATGCCAGCTGGTGTGTCCAGCATGGTCCTCCGCCCACCCCCCGCCGTCCCTTGTCTGTTTCCTCCCCGGGCTTCTGACGTACCTGCCTCACTGCCCTCTCGTCCCGTCCGCCACCAAGCCCCGGGGTCTTGCTCCCTCTGTGTCCCTCCTGTGTCCCCTTCTCTTCACTCCACTGGCTTCTTCATTTTCCCACTTGGGAAGAACCCACAAGGCCTGCGCCTCTGGTCCACCTCGCCCCAGCCCAGTCCTTCCCCGACTCGGAACAGGATCTTCAGAAACGCACAGCCGGTCGCTCCTCGGCCCCGCCTAAAATCCTCCCATCGCCCTCCTGAGCTCAGGCTGAATCCCAGACCCCTTACCTAGCAGCCGGGGCCCGTCTCTTCAGCCTCGTTTCCAGCCCCGGTGCAAACCCGCCCTCCCCGTCACATCTGCCAGACGGAGCCTCCGAGCTCATGGTGCATCTCGCGGCCCCGGGCCCTCTGCCTGGAGCCCCCTTCCCCCATCTGCACCTGCTGCCTCCCACTCTTACCCCGTTACCTTTTTCAGCATCACCTTCGGGTGGCCTTTTCTGACGCTTTTCAAGGTGGACTAGGGGGCCCGCTCCCCCGCTGTGCTGAGCGCCTTCCTGTCTGTCTTCCTCACGTTCATTGCTTCGCTTACTCGCCAGCCAGCAGCCAGTGCCTATTCTGGGCCGGGCGCTGTCCCAGGGGCTGGACAGCAGACACTCATGTCATTGTGATAGTTGGTCCGGTCGTCTCCCTGGCTGGACCAGAAGTTCCTCCAGGGCAAGAACCAAGCGGAGGCTGCCCCAGAAGCCCTGGGTCCAGCAGGCATCCCACCCCCCAACCCCAGCCAGCATCCAGTCCCCCTTGAACGCAGTCCCGTGCAGGGGCCCGAGGGGACTGAGCTGTTTCAGGCTGAGCTCCCTGCCAGGGCTGCCCCTGGACCGCTGGCCAGTGCTCTGCCTGCCTACCCCGCCGGCTGGGAGACCCCGTTAAGGCAGACAGCAGGTCCCCCAGCCAGTCTGGGGGCCTGGCGGAGGGTGTGGCAGGGAGGCCCTGTAGACCGGCTCCCATGTGCCTTCCACTGTGTGCAGGGTTCGAGTCTCCCGCAGGAGCCTCCCCGTCGCCCTCCGCGCCCCCAGCACCCCCGTGGCAGGGCCGCAGCGTGGCCAGCCCCAAGCTCTGGATGTTGGAGTTCTCTGCCTTCCTGGAGCGGCAGCAAGACCCCGAAACGGTAGGTCCTGGCCTCCATCTGGCCACTCCCCCGCCCGGTGCTCATTCCTGGGGTGGCGGCTCCCCTGCTTCCCCCAGCTCCTGTTCCTCTGGCTCTGGCTTTCTCGCCCTGCTCTCTGTCCCGCTCCACCTTAGGGTCCTCGTTCCTTTCCATCCCCCCTTATCTTTCCATCCTCTCCCTCCCCGCTTCCTTCTCACTGGACCTTCCCTCTGTCCCTGGCTCTCTTTCTGCTCCCCATCCCAAGCCCTCGCTCCGTTCCTGTGTACCGTCCCGGTGCCCCGAGGCTCTGTCCCTCCCCTGCTCCCACCATGTCCACCTTCTTTCCGGTCCAGTCACCTCTCCGTCTGAAGGCCCTGGTCCCAGTCCTGCCCGCAGGCTGCTCTGCCCTTTCCCTGTGGCTCTGAGGAGTCTCCTGTCTGTCCCGTGTCCTCGGGGACGCCAGCAGGAGCAGCAGCCCACCCCCGTCCCGCCCCCTTCAGGGTCTCCGTCCTGGGTGACCGGCGTCACCTGCAAAGTTCAGAGGAGCACCTTGGCCAGGATGCCAGAGGCGTGGGGACTTCACTGACCATTTCACTTTGACATGTTCAAGCTTATGGTTTAGATGAGGAACCCAGCGAGGGACCACAGCCGCCGCCTCTTGCGGGGGAGCACCCCTCGTATGGGCCGTTGGTCTTCCATCACAGATGAGATCACGGGGGTCCAGAGATAGAAAATGAGTCGCCTAAGGATGTTAGCAGCAGAGTCAAGACAGTACAAATAGCGAGCAGAAAGTGCCGAGCACCTGCTGGGGGTCACCCTGCCCCAGGTGCTGGACACCTGTCGACTCTGCTTTACACTCAGCCCTTCCACTGGCTCCGTTTTACCAGAGGGGAAACTGAGGGCCCCGCCGTGGCGTCCCTGCTCTGGGCCACTGGCCAGGCTCCGAGCCCCGGTCTGTCTGGTCTGTCTGCTGCGCCGCCCCCATGGCCCCTCAGACCAGTTCTTCTCTGTCCACAGTACAATAAGCACCTGTTCGTGCACATCGGCCAGTCGAGCCCCAGCTACAGCGACCCCTACCTCGAAGCCGTGGACATCCGCCAGATTTACGACAAGTTCCCCGAGAGGAAGGGTGGTCTCAAGGAGCTTTTTGAACGGGGACCCTCCAACGCCTTTTTCCTCGTGAAGTTCTGGGTAAGCCTTCAATGACCTCCTCCTTCCCACCCCAGCACGTCGATGACCACAGGGAGAAAGGAGGAGGGGTGGGCCTTGGCGGCAGTGGGACCTGGGACACGCAGGACAAGAGCGAAGGGCCAGCACAGAGCGGCCCTCTGGTGCCGGGAGCTCAGACCAGATGGAGCCATTGGTGCCACAGAGCAAGGCCCCTTCCTGATGGCGGGTGATGGTCACGCCCGGGCAGAAGTGCGGCCTCAAGGGGTCTGTAGTACCAGAGAGGACCTACAGGAGACCTGAGGGGTAGTCACCCAAGGCTTTCAATGCCAAGGTTTCCGGGCCCGCAGCAGGGCAGCCGTTGGGCTGGATGGGGCTTGGAGAAGTGGACGGTAGGCTTAGGCTGGGTCATCCCCAAAGAAACACCGAGCTTCTCCAAGAGCTCAGCCTGTAGCTCGGCCTCCACTGCCCTCCCCAGCTCACCCCTGCATGGGTGCTGTGTGGGTAGAGCCTCTTTCTTTCGAAACCTCCAAGACCAGGAGGCATAGGACCTCTTCCAGGGGCCCAGCACCCACAGAAAAGGGGTGCCGGGAAGAGCGACAGGGCAGGAGAAGCCAGCGGGAGGAAGTGAAGGAAATCCTTCTGGCTGGTGATCAGAGCCTCCGAATCGTCTCAGAGCCCGGAAGCTGGGCCTTTATTTGGTCTCGGACCACTTTGATAACCTGAAAGCTGTGCTTTTCCTAGAAGTGGGCATATTCACACGAAAGTGTACATGGAGTTCCAGGTGGCTTACTGTTCCCTGGCTAGGAGCTCTTAGCCTAGCCCTCACCCGCAACCGAATCTGTGGGGCTGGCTACAGAAAAGGCAGGAACGGGGACCCAGGGCCCGGATCCCGAAGAGGCTCAGTGTTTGCCCTTGCAGGACAGCTTGCTCTGCGAGCCGGTGGAGGTTGGCCCTGGGCCTTCAGGGACGGGCAGAGTTAGGCGGAAAAGGGGAAGGGCCTCCAGGGGGGCTAGTCATGGGTGAACGTGTAAGAGAGGGAACCGCGGAAAGTAAAAACGGGAGAGATGAGTCTGATCCTGGAAGGTCCTGATCCTACAAAGGTCTGGATTTGATTCTATGCTGGGATGAAAAATAGGTAATAGTTTCTTTTACTTTATCTTATTTTTAAATCAGTGCATGTTCATAGTTATTAATACCAAGAGGCTTATATGAAAACCGTCAGGTTGTCGTCCGCCTCCTCCCAACCCCAAGCCCAATCCCGAGAGGCAATCACTGTAAAATGTCACTGTTTATTCTGGGTTTTATCTCCTTAGTTCTAAATATCTGCTATACTTTGATATCACGACTATGTATTGTGTATTTATGGTAGAAAAACATTGGCTATATTATACCACTTTTCCCCTCATCGTCCCAGTAAGTTATATAATTTAGTCAAAGCAATAAAGTGTTTAGATTTTGTGGCAATGTAGATGGACCACCAGAGTTTGTAATGATTACATGTCATTTCTTGTGCAACTTTTTGTTTTTTCCTAAAAATAAATGGCTCTTTCGCTTGCACATTTCTAAAAAACCTATCATTAAAATTTTACTAATTGTTCTATCATAACCAACATATAAAATTTAAAAAATGGTTTTTCACCCAGTGCTCAGGCCTCGCAGATAATTTGTCCTTTGTCCCTTTCTCCTTCTGGATGCCTCTGTTCTGCTCCAGTTTGAACCAGTTTTCCTCCAGGCCTGCTCAACAGCTGTCCTGAGACCTCTGTTTACTGCTTCTCTATTTTGAATCTACAGTTTCCTAGATCTCATATTTCTCTCTGTTTTGGTGCTCCCCCCTCATTTTGCTGGAATACATTCTCTAGTACCTTCCTAAGAAAAGGTGCATGGTAGATAAATGTTCTAAGTCTCCCTGTTTGAAATGTCATTTATTTTCAGTACTTGATTCATAGTTTGGGTACAGAATCTTCATCGTAAATGATTTTCCCTAGAAGTGGTTTTCAAGAATCATTTTTCGGTTGCTGCAATGTCTTATAAGAGTAGTCCGGTAGTATTCTAATTCTCTATTCTTTGTTATGTAACTCGGTTGTTTTTAGCGTCTAGGAGTCTTGCATTTCCTCCTCTCTGTTCCTTATGTTAAATTTCACATTGATGAGCTTTGGGATCTGTGTTGTTTTTCTTCCTATTTTTGAGCCAGGTACTTGGTAGGCAGTGAGATGAGAGTCTCTCAATGCGGTAAATTTACTTATATTATTTCTTTTTCTTTGTTTTCTCTGTGTTCTTTTGCAGGAACCCCTGTTAGTCTGATGTTGGATATCCCGGACCTATCCTCTCTGATTTTTACCATTTATTTATTTTCCAATGCATTTTCTTAGAGACTTTCTTAACTTTATCTTCTAATTAAGAGTGAATCTGAGTGAATATTACATAAAACCCAAAGTAACATTGGCATGAATGAATAGTTCTTCTTTCATGTAAAGTAAGTCTGGAGATAGAGTGTCCAGGTCTGGTCCAGCAGCTCCATGAAATTACCAGAGACCCTACTCTTCTCTATCTGCCATCCTCAATGTGTGGCTTCTGTCCTTAAGGTCAAGGCTGCTGGGGTTCCAGCCATCACATCCATTTTTCAGGCATCAGGAAGGGGGAAAGCCAGCTTAGTTCCCTTTAAGGAGCCTTCCTGGAAGTCCCACACAATTCTTAATTAGTTGTTTGTTTACAGGTAGCTGCAAAGGAGCCGGGGAAATGTAGTCTTTTAGTTGAGTAAATTGCCATTCTGAATAAAATCAGCATTCTATTACTACAGAAAATGAACGACTCTTTCAATTATTGATGTGTCGTAGTTTAATTGATGGCATTTTTTTCTTAATTGTTTGTAAAATCTTGGTGCATTGTACATTTAGTTGTGAAATAGATTAATGGAATATGGTGGCATTCTCTGCCCACCCCCACCCCGCCCCTTGTATCGAATATTTAATTTTGACCGTGACGTTTTTAATTTTTAAGAGCTCCTTCGTCTTTGACTGCATCCTGATCTTGTTTCATGGCTATTTTTTAAGTTTTCTTCTGCTCCCTTTGTTTCCTTTTAGTCCCTTTTTCTGTCTGTTTGGGTCTTTGTCTTTCAGGTTGGAGGATTTTCTCAAATGTCTATAATTCTTGGCCAGAGTTTTTGGTCCTTATTTTTTTGACAGCTTTATTGCTATGTAATTCACTTACCATATAATTCACCTACTTAAAGTGTACAATTCAGTATTTTTAGTATATTCACAGAGTTGTGCAACCAGTTAATTTTAGAGCATTTTCATCACCCCCAAAATAAACCCCAAACCCATTAGTTATCACCTCCACCCCCAAGCCTTAGGCAACCACTAATCTGCTTTCTGTCTTTATAGCATTTTTAGATATTTCACATAAATGGAATCTTACAATATATAGTCTTTTGTGACTGTCTTCTTTCACTTAATGTTAAGTTTTTAAGTTTTGGCCATATTATAGCACATATCAGGACTTCATTCCTTTTTATGGTTGAGTAATATCCCACTGTCTGGGTAGACCACATTTTGTTTATCCATTCATCCATCAGTGATGGGCATTTGGGTTGTTTCCACCTTTGGGCCATTGTGAATAATGCTACTATGAACTTAATATACAAGTCTTTGTGTGGACATAGCTTTTCATTTCTCTTGGGTAGATACTTAGGCATGGAATTGCTGGATCATATGCACTATTTATTTATTTATTTTTGGCTGTGTTGGGTCTTCGTTGCTGCGTGGGCTTTCTCTAGTTGCGGCGAGTGGGGGCTACTCTTTGTGGTGTGGTGGCTTCTCTTGTTGCAGAGCACGGGCTCTAAGCACGTGGGCTTCAGTAGTTGTGGCTCACGGGCTCTAGAGCGCAGGCTCAGTAGCTGTGGTGCACGGGCTTAATTGCTCCGCGGCATGTGGGATCTTCCCGGATCAGGGCTCGAACCTGTGCCCCCGGCATTGGCAGGCAGATTCTTAACTGCTGAGCCACCAGGCAAGTCCCCTCTTTGTGCATTCTTGACAGTGTCCTTTGAAGCACAACCTTTTCCATTTTGATGAAGTCCAGTGTATCCTTCCTTTTGTTGTTCGGGCTATTTGTCCATGTCCAGTGACTGGGAACTCTGTGGACAAGGTGTGGGCCTTGTCACCTGCTGGGCTTCTCTTTCAGGTGATCGGGGTTGGGGAACCAGCTGCTTTATCGAGGACACTAGTAAATGTCAGCATATTTACCTGACCTTTTCCTTTCTTGAAGTGGTTCAGTTTCTCCAAAGAAGACTCCTACTGTCCCCCCACCCCTTGGCAGGGACAAACGAACATTCTAGCAGTGGGGCAGGGAGAGGGCTAGGGGAGCCGACCGTTTCTTAGGCAGCGTTCACCTCATGCCCTGGCTCCCACCCCCTCTTCTGACATGCCTGGGGGCCCGAAGACCTGACGCCCTCCTGTTTAATTTCTTCTCCTGATGTGTGAAGAGTGGGGGCCCGGAGGCCTGACCACCCAGTGTACAGCCTTTCAGCTGGTTCCTTGTGTCATATCCTGTGCCTCCCTGGCCATCAGTGTCCTGGCCCCTGTCATCCCGAGGGTGGTGCTGACTTCTCACCCGTCACCCCTCTGAGGGCACTTTCAGGCTGTAACTCTTCTTGCGTCCTTTTCCCCGCAGAAGCCATCCTAGCTCAGATCAGCTGTCAGTCCCCTGGAATTTGTTGAATTCTCCTGTCTGTTTGGTCTTTCCTCCGTTTCTTCGTGTGTGTGGTCAGCGCATTAAAAAAGGTCTTTGTCCTCATCCTGTTGGCTCTCTGGACAGGGAAATGTGAACTTGTATGGTCAGTCTCTGTTTGTTTGTTTGTTTGTTTGTTTGTTTGTTTTTGCGGTACGCGGGCCTCTCACCGTTGTGGCCCCTCCCGTTGCGGAGCACAGGCTCCGGACGCACAGGCCCAGCGGCCATGGCTCACGGGCCCAGCCGCTCCGTGGCATGTGGGATCTTCCCGGACCGGGGCACGAACCCGCGTCCCC